GTTCTTTTGAAATCTTTGGTTTCTTTTAGGTATTTTGGAGGTTAAAGCTAGTGCTGGATATTGGAGCACACTTCCATGCCTTTGCCAGCAGTCTTGTTCACTGCACCTGTTTTGGGCCAGGTACTTTCTGTTTGTGTCAGTCTTACCTGACCGCTTGGTTCCCTTGTATGTGCAGTGCATTTATTCATTTTTGTCATCATGGCAATAGTTTGAAGTGAATTAAGGAAGTACCGTACCCTATAAGATAAGAGCAGCAATTAGATGGCATGTGTCTGCCTTGGAGAAGCATGGCATAAACTGAGAGAAGCAACGGAAAGGAAAAGTAATGCATTGCTATTTCAACAGTGTCCGTATACTGAAATCCAGAGAAGCATATGGACCTGCCTTGCAGAGGAGAGCCTTGGACATAAAAGCTCAGCCCATTGGTTGCAAATCTTTTGTTTCTCATGACTCACAGTGGTGGCAGAAAAGCATTATTTTACACATTTGAGGTGCCTTTCAAAAACTTATTTTCTTTTCTTTTTAAAGAAAGAGGCAGGAACAGCAGCAATTTTGCACTGTCTGCTATTGGTGGTATATTTCTACTAAATATTTCTGCTGTATAGCCACTCAGCAAAATGCATGGTCAATTTTTTTTAATCACTGGGCGTGAGAAAGACCTCGCTTTCTGAGCAAAAGCATGCTGTCTAATCTCTTTATGAGAACTTATTTTAAAGGTTATTGGAGGAATGCAAATACTTGATCTTTTAGGAGAAGCAGAAAAAGAGGTCAAAAGCATCTTTCCAGAGTTCCCTTGCATCATTGGTTGGTAGAACTTCTCCAGGTTCAATCAGGAACAGTTTAAATATCAGCAATGTGTGTTTCTTGTAAATAGTCCTTAAAAAGGTATGTCCTACTGTGGTAATTAATATAAACACACACACCCTCCCCCCACCCCACCCCCCTCCCCTTGCTGCCTTTTCAAGCATACTGCAGGCTGTAGATTCAAGCACTTCGGACTTAAATAATGCTAAAGACTAGTGTTGCCTGTTTGCTTTTGATTTGCTTTTCCTACATGTGTATGCATCATAGTTTTATGTGATAGCGGTAATTGGCTGCAGAGTTTTGTTTCAAGAGGTTAACTACTATAGTATTTAACTTTGAAATCAAAGGGCACTTGGTTTTAATGTTTCTAAAGTGTCACAATTAACTTCCTTTCCTGCCTTTGCCCGAACAATGTAGAAATGAGGGCTCATAATAAAGATGACTATACCTTTTGTTCAGATAATATAAATTGCTTTGTTCCAAATAGAGAAATTCAGCTGAATTTCTCTAACTGGTTTGGTCATGAAATCGGTGTTCAACCTAAAGCATTAGGAGCCCTTTGAGCTTTCCAAAAAGCAAAGTTTACAAAAGACTTTTTTTCTCTAATAAGAAAAAATGATAATGCATTAAAATAAGTAGTCATTCTGAAAATGTTCCATTAACTAGAAATCTTAAAATACTGACAGCTTTTGTTTTCATAGTCTACTAGCCCATGTAAATGCTGTCTCTTCTAGGGAGGTGCATTTGTTGCCTACTGTAGGTGGGGCTGCTAGATCTACCTATTATTAAAGTTGCTTAATACTTCCTGCTGTTTTCAGTTGCTTGCAACTCTGGCAAATTTTAACCATGTGGGCAACGTCTTTCAGTGCTGAGTGTTCAGATTTTTTAGGTACAGATCAGCCAGAATTGTTCTCATTTCTGCAAGAGGATGTTGGGTGAAAAATACAGTAATACATGTCTGTTGATATATACATTTCTGACTTGAGAGGGTTTTTTCTTGGAAAAGGTCTAGTACCTTCATGACTTCATGGTGGTTGTATCTGTATCAGAAGTGGAGAGCGTGCTCAGATCTGGCCAAATGGGTGGAATGGAAAAACTGCAGGTTGTCTATGGTCGATAGAGCTTAGCAGCTAAGGTTTCAGATTCAACTAAGCCTCATTGGGTAACTAAGTCCAGAACTGATGTTCCACTGACATTCACGAAACTTCCTGATTGCCGTCTAGCTGTATAGTTATCTAAAATCCCAGGATGCATTGCAGACACAACATCGTAAGTGTCTTGATGGTATCCAGCAGTTTGTATTTACTGTATGCTACTGCCATGATGACATTTCCCAACGGCGCACTTCTCAGCATCTCACTCCGTAGCTTCTGAGCGCTAACAGTGTCACAGAGCTCATGTTAACATCGTTCAATCTAATGATCTCTGGCAATTTAAGGTGTAAAATGGAGCTTAGACCAATATACCTCATAGCCCAATGGCTAGAGCACCCAGCAAGGATCCTGGAGCCTTGGAATCGAGGCTTTTTTCTGCTGGGGATGATCTGAATCCGGGTATCTCTTACCAGAAACCGATAGGCTGAGGCGTTGAGCTTATGATCTGCAGCCCACTGAGGGTCCGTGGGCTGTTTCTGAGCAGTCTGCAAAACTTCACTAAGGCAATAAGCAAACCTGTAAGCTTAAATTCATTGTAAGTCAGTCCATTGGAAAACATGTAGCCTTAACAAATGAAAAACTGTTGGTAAGTGTTGCAGTAGGGTGTGAGAATCTCTGTTTCACCAGGGTTTTGTAATACTGGCTTCAAAAAACTGGTGCGTGGAAGCTTGGGATGTTTAATCTTACTTGATGATGCTTTGACAAATGTGAATCAAATTCCACTTGGTTTCAGAATTGCAAATAATGGAGTAGCTTACAATAACTTTATGCTTAATTAATATATATACTAGCTATTATTATATGGGAAGGTGCTATACATAAAGTAAATTAGGTGCCTGGTGCACTACACTGATTTTTAACCTGGAGGGAAATGCATCCAGAACCTCACCCAGATTTAACTTCGAACAAAAACTTTTTTTGAGCAAATATTCACTCTTGATTGATGGATTTCAGAAGTCTTGCCTAAATAAATTTTGGCATCCTGACATACCATTTTGTATTTTGAAATGGACTTGACCTACGTGTTTTCTCCACAGACAGGGTTTTGAAGAGTAGGTAACAACTACCCTAAGTGTCGCAAGCAGTGCGACACTTTAGGGGAAAACAACCTAATCTGCTAAAATTGTTTATGAAAGGTTCTGAAAAAAACCCCACTGGGTGAGGAAAAAGTAGAGAGCTTAGCTTCACCTCCGGACTAGCTCACTGGTCCTCTGTTGCCCTGTTTTTTTGTGCATTGGTGTGGGGGGTGTGTGTGTGTGTTTGACTTGATTGATTTAAATGCAGTGGCATTATGTAAGTCCCTTGGCTTGTATTTGCAGTGTTTTAGGGTTAATATTTGCGCTCGTGACTGGCAGTAATGACAAGCGTTTTTGGTTCCCGCACAAGTGAGTTCAGTCCAAGCAGGGCTGCGCTTCGGTGCTGGCGACCTCGCGCTCTCGAGGAACGGCCACAGCGCGGCCTCCCCAGCTGCTGCCAGCCCTGCCAAGTTATGTGACGTGCGCTGGGATATGAATTGCCATTTACTGCAGCTGAAGTGTTTTCATGCAGTTAATTTAGAGGCTAAGTGACCATGTTCCCGACATGACATTCCTTCAATTTTCCTTTGGTGTTAACACTTTTTAAAATCAAGCAAATTAAGCGCTTAGGCTTCCAGCCCCAGCACAGGTGGGCTGTGGTCTCACTAAGAAACCTACCTAGTAGCTGCGCTTTTAAATGGCAAGAAAACAGGTCAGGCAGCCCAGCTTCGGCCTGGTCAGGCTCTGCGCTTTGCGTTAATCCTCGCGCTGCCAGTATGCATCCGGGGGACTTCCTAGGGCTGCGTCGTGCTTCACGCCTGCCACTGCCCCAGAGCCCCGTGAAAGGGAGCAGGTGAAACGAGGTGGGTCTGCTCATTAGCAAGTGTTTTCCTTCCTCCTTTACTTCTGTGCACTGTTAAAACTTGGCTGTGGGAAGTAGTAGCACGTTTGATTTTTAAAAAGGGCCCTGGGCAGCCTCTAACCTTCTGAACTGTCGCACGGCCTCAGCTGCGGCAATTTCTTTATACTTGAGTGAAGTTCTTCACCTGTACTTTTTTTTTTTTTTGAGGGGGGGAAGGGTTTTACTTTTGAATTGCGATGGCTTTTACCCTCTTGGCAAAGTATTCTAGCCCATCGCGTTTGCATGGCTACATATTACGCGGATGGTATTTTGGCTCCAGGACGATGCTCCCCATATGCTGATGTAATTCCCCAGGTGCAGTCTCATTCCCGGACGCGTTTGCTCCTATACAGCCTATCTTTCCCCGGATACAGGAATATATATCCCCCCCGGGGGAGAAGCAGCACCTCAGCGGCTGCCATCAGGTAAAGCGGGGGGAGGCAGAAGCGCAGCCTCCGCTACGGGGCCGCTGTCACCTGGCG